TTATCTTTATTTATTTTTATTATTTTTAATCATTTTTATTTAGTTTTATTTTTTAATTAGTTTTTATTATATTTATTAATTTTTATTTGTATAAAGGAACTTTGAGTGGGGACTGAACTGTCGCATTGTCGTTTTTATTAGTTCGTAACTTATATTTTTCATGTCAGGCAAGCCATAATAAGTTCACTTCAAAATTTATTTTACCCCTATAAAGTCGTATAATGTATTGGAAATTTGTAAATTGTCATAACTTTAAAAAAAAAACAAATGAAAAAAAGTATTTTTCTGAAAAGAAAGTTCATGTTTTTCTAAGTAAATAATAACAAAAAATAAAAAATCATTGAATTTTCAGCTTATATATATCTCCCCTTAACTTTTAAACACCCTAACTCTGTTAGTTTTAATAATTGCAAAAAATGCTTAAAATCATTTTTATATAAAACTGTATGATTTACAATTTTTATTAGGAACTTTTTTGTATAGCACCTACCGTTTTTAAATAACCTAAAAAAACACTTTATTTTCTTGTTTTTTGCCACTTGTCGGAGCCTGAGAAACAAATTTTTTTTACATATCGTTTTCAAATACTTTAAAGTGACTTGTATCAAAAATTCCCGTATTTCCTCCAAAATTTTGATTTAAAGGTCTATTTGATTGGACTATAATAGATGATTCCATATAAGTTTGGTTGTGTGTATTATCTAGGTAGATATTTCGAAGTCTATTTAAGAAGGGATTCGTTAGAAATGATTTCTAATGGCTATTTCTCACAGTATGAGTTGGGTATCGAGTTTTTTTCATAATATGTATACTAGGGTGTTTCATTTTTGAGCAACTTCTTTTTTTCAACTAAAAAACAGGCTTAAAACTTTCAGGAAGGTGAAAAAAGAAGCCTCTAAAAATTTGAGCTCTTAATATTATCATTTAGTGGTGCCTGTTCCTAACTTTCCATTTTCCATCTAAATAACATGGAATTTTTTTTTCTTTTTTCTTATTTTTGTAGCTTGACATTTAAACATTGTAAAAATAAAGTGAAAAAATATTTTGGTAGGAAATTGAACGCTCTACAAAAAGTTCTAATTTATTTTTTCATAGAGTGAGCCGTTCTGAAGATATTCAAACTTAAAGTTGCAAATGTATGAAATTAGGACTTTTATTTTATTAAACTAATACTGATGACTTTTTTTATGTCTTAAAAATTATTTTTAATCAGAAAACTGGTTTTTGTGCGCTAAAATTTTTAGAAAGCTAAAATAAAAAAATACATTTTAGATATTATTTGATTAACTGTTAAACAAAAGTAATTATGAATTAGGTTCAGTAAAATTATTATTTTATAGATTAAAAAAAAAACTTTTTAACAATTAGCATACTAAAATTTTGAAACTAATAGATATTTTAATGTCTTATCAGAATTAAATGATGTAACTATATTTGTTGAAGTGTTTTTATTACAATTTGGATATTTTCGTCGGTGCTCCTTTACCACTTGTAATAAATATTAAAATTGTTCCTCATCTTTAGTAAGGCATCTATTATATTCTTCTACTAATGCGACGCCATGTCATGCAACGTCATTGACAACTTTCAATTTTTCGAAAAACTGCAAATTCTCTTGATAACTTTCATTAACTGGCCATATTAGGACATCTGCATCCAGAAAGTGGTACAGCAAATCAAATTTGTCAAAAAGTTTTAATGATTGTTTTGAAATAAAGTCACTCATATTTTTGTTTATAAATATTTCTGGTGAATTTTTGTCTTGTGTGCGTCGTTATTTTCTTTCTATATGAAAATAATGTTTTCTTGAAAATAATTTTTAAGACATAAAAAAGTCATCAGTTTAATAAAATAAAAGTCCTAAATACATTTGCAACTTTAAGTTTGAATATCTTCAGAACGGCTCACTCTATGAAAAAAAAAAAAAAAATATAACAGAACTTTTTGTAGAGCGTTCAATTTCCTACCAAAATAATTTTTCACTTTATTTTTACAATGCTTAAATGTCAAGCTACAAATATAAGAATAAAGAAAACATTTTTTTCCATGTTATTTAGATGGAAAATGGAAAGTTAGGAACAGGCACCACTAAATGATAATATTAAGAGCTCAAATTTTTAGAGGCCTCTTTTTTCACCTTCCTGCAAGTTTTAAGCCTGTTTTTTCGTTGAAAAAAAGAAGTTGCTCAAAAATGAAACACCCTATTGTATACGCCTTATATGGTCTAAGTTTTAATTAGCAATACAAAAAAAGAATTTTAAAATAAAACGCATAATATTTTAAAACATTTATTTTTTATTTTGTAAGCTGGCTTTAAGATTCGTTGAATAAAAACTGGAACAACTTCATAAAAATTGAACAGTTTAAATAATTTAATAGATTATATTATAAAGAGATTCAACAATGGGGAAAAGAAATAAAAATTTACTAAAAATATAACATGTATCAAAAAAAAAAAAAAATAAAAAAATAATCTCATTTAACATTTTTATAGATTAAAATACCTTAAAGTGGGTACCTAATTCTATTTTTTTTTTACATAAATTAGTGTGAATTATTTTAGGCACTGATTAAGAGAATATATAGTTTTATTATAATCGAAACATAGCTGTAGTTTAAATTTTCCTGCAGATATAATGGTATAAGTTGACATGTTAGTAGAAATGTCTTTTTTCCACATACTGCGAAAATTGAATGCTTTAACGTTTGTATCTAACAACCATGTCTATTTTCTACAAAGCTCGTTATGAGCACTAATACTAATCCATGCCTACTTAAAACTGTGCGATTGACTTTTAAATAAACAATAATTATAATTTTCAATATCCTGAGACTCATAAATTTCAATTGTATGCACTTAAACTAAAAAAAATACAAAAATAAATATAAATCACCCTAAGCTGCTTTTAGGCCTTTGAACCTAGATTTTTGGAGTTTGGAGTTTAGTAGTTTTGACGTGGGTTTTGATCCTGAAAAAAAAAAAAAATATGGTTTAGAACGCATTTTTAAAAAATATACTAGTGAGTCATGTCACATGGCATGCGACCACCAAATTTGGTTTCGCCGGAAAATTACTGAAAAACACATTTACCGTAGGAAAATTATCCGACACCATCCAATAGATTCATTTTGAATACGCATTTATTTGAAATTTTTCATAAATTTCTGAGAAAATGAAAGTTAAGCTTTTTTTAAATTTATCCCCACACCTGGTCATGAAAACCGTTTCTTGTCGAGTCGGATAATTATTCTGAAGGTTTTTTGCTCTATCTCCACTTTTAAACAAGGCAAAGTTTTTACTGAAAAAAACTTTTGACCCAAAGTTCCCCCAATTTTCCTTTGAAATGTATTTGAGGAATCGGAAAATGTTCGATGCCAGATTGTCGTCAAAAATTTCAAGAATTTATTAGTTTTTAAATAGCGTATTTATTACATAAGTGCTAAATTGTGACGTTCAAAAAAACACTAATTGCTAAAGTTAATGTTTAAAACAAAAATAAAAGTGTGCCCAGAAAAATAGTTTTAGAATGTGTAGAGAAAATCGACAAAACAGAATCTTCTAAAGCGCTTTTAGCGCAAAAAAATTCAGGCCAAATTAATATGGAAACAACACTTAGCGATGACGAGGAAAAAAAATTTGAGAAAAAATATAGATACTCTCAAAGAAAGAATTAGCTATACATGGGCTGACTAAACAATTGCAGGAAATGCAATTACAACAAACGAAAATGATGTTAGGTATGCAAAAACAACAACAGTATATCGAAACAGACTCAGAAGAAGAAATAGGTAATAAAGAAACAGCTTGGATAGTACAAAGAAGCAAAAGAAATAGCAAAAAACGATTATCACCTCTAAACACAACCAAAGAACAATACAAACTTAAAAAACCTAAAGAACAACCAAAAAAAAAATTACCACCACCAATAATAATAACATAGGTTAAAAACTTTGAAAGAGTTAAGACAAAAACTAATAAGTAAGCAACATAATTTTGTAGCTACCTATAGAATAACGTAAAAATCAATTAAACGAAAATGATTAACAAGAATATAGAACAATGACAATATCTCTCCAAGTCATAAGCACTGCTACAAAAAAAAACCATTGCCGCTATTCATCTTAATATTTGAAAACGGCGAAGGAATTAAAATAATTTACGAAAATTAAGACATTAAAAACCTAATAATTCAAATTGAGCCAGTGAGAAGCCCAAAGTTGATACCCCAATGCAAACGGTGCCATTTGGGCATACCTACTAAACATTTTTGCAATAGGCAATCAGTGTGTGCTAAATGTGCCAAAACCCATCTTACAAGAGAATGTGCTAAGCCGGCAAGTATACTACCAAAATTCACAAATTGTAATCAAGCACTTGTACTAAGCTATACAGGATGTGAAGTCGCAAAAGAGATACAATACAGAAGAGACCAAGTAAGCAAAACTAATCACATTAGAAATAATACCCAAAGCAGACGTCATATCATTAATAACACACAACGAATGGCAAATTTTATATACTCAAAAAGTGGCTAGTAATAACAGACTTAAGCTAAGAACGAATCTTCAACGAATCAAACGTCTAAACATCCTTAATGGAGCGTAAAGACTTAATCATTGACTTGACCATCTAGAAGAGCTAATAGAACAAAATATAGATATCTAACTAATATCAGAAACACATTTAACAAAGCAAAGCTATATACAACTTAAATAATATAAAGTCAATAGTACTATACATTAGTCGGATAACGCTAGAGGTGGAAGCGCCGTAATAACAAAAGAAAATATTAACCATTATGACGAGATCAAAATAGAAACAGAAAAAATACAGGTAACAGTAGTTATCATTATTTGATCGTCGTAAGAGGCAAGTTCGCAGGTACAATATCGGAGCGCACACAAACCGCTCTAAACATTGTTGACGAGTGGTGCAGAGAGGAGGAACTAACAGTAAACCCTCACAAAACCACAATAGTCAACTTTACAAAACGAACCGTACCAACAGGACTAAAGTCACCAGTACTGAAAAGAGTGAAGATTCCATTCGCTCAAGAGGCCAAATACTTGGGAGTCATCTTTGACCACAGGTTAACATGGAATCAACACTTGCAAAAAGTCACCCAAAAGAGCACAACGTCCTTCAACTTATGTCGAAGGTTGTGTGGAAAAAATTGGGGGTTACAACCAAAAATGTCCCTGTGGTTATATACCAGAGTCATAAGGCCGATGATAACCTACGGGTCGGTGGTATGGTGGCCAAAGACTAGGCAAGCTGGAGCCATTCGACAGCTCAATGGTATTCAAAGGCAAGCATGCCTGAGTACCACGGGAGCTATGAGAACGACTCCAACAGTAGCTATAGAAGTCATGCTAAACCTAACACCACTACACATATTCATTCAAGGCGAAGCCAGGTCTGTCACATACAGACTGCACAAAGGTTCATCGCCCATAAGCAGTTTGCATGGACGCGACTACAGCGAGCTATATAAAGAGTTGGAGAACGACCAAATAATGGGAATGCCTTCAGACGAAATGCTTCCAAAGTATAGCTTTCAAAAGCAATATAAAGTAAGTATACCAGACAGGGAAGCGTGGACGGGAGGACCTCCTATTCATGCAGATCTCACCTGGTATAAAGACGGCTCCAAACCCCATAAAGGTTCAGGAGTAGGTGTATATAGTACCAAGCCAAAGACAGGAATCTCACCGAGCTTAGGTAAACATGCGACAGTATTCCAGGCAGAAATAGCAGCAATACATCACTGCACAAAAGAAGTATTAAGACAGAAGGTAAATGGAAAAACCATTGTCATATACTCAGACAGTCAAGCGACGTTAAAAGCACTCAGTTCCATGCAGGTACACTCAAAGCTTGTGTGGGACTGTTTGGAAGCCCTAACAGAGCTGGGTAGTCAAAACAGACTAACCTTAGCCTGGGTACCAGGCCACAGGGGACACAAAGGCAATGAAGAGGCTGATTTACTAGCCCGAGAAGGAGCATCAAATGCTCTTATTGGCCCAGAACCCTTCTGTGGTGTAACAAAAACAACTATCAGAACATGCACAAAGCAGTGGATGTTTAAAAAATCTCAGGAGTGGTGGGAAAACTCACCAGGACAGAGACAGGCCAAAAAGTTCTTAAAAGGACCATCGTCTAAACTCACCGAGCATCTACTAAGCCTTAATAGGAAAAATACTAGAATACTAGTAGGTCTATTAACAGGGCATTGTAGGCTTAACAAACATATGTTCAATATCGGTCTGACAGAAGAGGCCTTGTGCCGATTCTGTCAAGAAGAAGAGGAAACGGCAGAACACGTATTGTGCTACTGCGAAGGTCTAGTAAGACTGAGATTCCTTACACTTGGAGAAGAAAAACCAAGGGCAACTAGCTATACCGGAGAACTACTTCCCAGTCTATGGAGTCTACTACAAAAGACCGCATTAGACCAGGTACTCTAAACAATGATTAAAGGATATCCACAATAGATCTGAAAAGGTCGAGGTGGGGGAGGCCACATGGCCCATAGTCCTAATTAAATCTAATCTATCATTAAAACGAATAAACACAGTTCCCCAGTCGGAGGCGCATCTATCCCACCATGACATAATTTGAAGAAAGATAATTACAGAGAACTCTTAGGACAAATTGGAGAAAATTTTATCTTGGGAGGTGATTTTAATGCAAAAAATAACACCTGCGGCTCGAGATTAACAACCACCAAAGGTAGGGAATTTCATGCAGCTGCAAGTGAAATTGGGTGTGACTACCAGTCAACAGGAAAACCAACCTATTGGCCAACCGACAGAAATAAAATACCTAACTTACTAGACTTCTCCATCACTAGAAAAATATCCGGAAACCTTATTAAAATAGAAGAAAACTTTGACTTAGACTCAGATCATTCTCAGGTGATAATGATACTAAGCGAAAATATAATCCAAAAAGAAATTAGACCTACACTGTGTAATAAAAAGGCAGACTGGGTAAGTTTTAAATCTGAATTAAGTATAAGAATTGAACTAAGTGCACTACTAAGAACGAAAGAACTACGAGCTAGAAAAATTTGTCATTGACAAGTGTCAAGGAACAATATACCAGAAATTACAAGAAAAAACGTAGGCAATTTATACCCTAGAGAAATACCACCAATCAAAGAAGACAACGGAAACTCGGCAAGATCAAATAAACAAAAAGCTGACATCTTTGAAGAATTAGGACGAGGACTAGATTTACTAAAAGAAGAGAACAGAAACATAGTAGAAATTCCTAGGGTAAAGCATAAAGAGGTAGGTAGAAATCAAAGAAAATATCAATTATAAGAAAGCACACTGGGTATGATCTAATCACAGGTGAAATACTAAAACAATTGCCAAAAAAAGCTGTGGTTAAACTCACCAATATAATAAACGCTGCATTTTGACTAAAACATATCTATAAAGTCGTTAAAATTATAATGATATCCAAACCTGGAAGACCACTAAAAGTAAAGTCCTATAGACCCATATCCCTGTAACCAGTATTGTCTAAACATTTCGAAAAACTTTTACTAAAAATATTGAAACCCATGATGAGACAGTAAAAATATAATACCTGACCGACAATTTGGATTTAGGAACAAGCATTCCACTATTGATCTAGTCCACAAAATAACGAATAAAATACAGAAAACACTGGAAGAAAATAAGATCTACAGCTCACTATTTCTAGATGTAGCTGAGGCTTTCGATAAAGTTTGGTTAGAGGGCCTTGAATAAAAACAATTAAAACTTTTACCAAAGCAATATTGTGACACCTTAAAATCCTACTTGACTGATAGAATCTTTCGAATAGAAGAATATTCCAGGCTTAAAGAAACTAAAGCAGGGGTACCTCAAGGAAGTGTTCTGGGGCCAGTTATATATCTGTTGTTTACCTCCGACATACCACTAACGGAAAATGTGAAAGTAACCACATTTGCTGATGACGCAGCCTTACTCGCCATCGGTAAAACCGTAGAAGAATCGGCCAGAAAACTTAATAGGCAACTAATAAAATTTACGAGTGGACAAAAGGATGGCACAGTAAGCTCAACGAAACTAACACAATTCAGGTTAACTTTACTAATAAATAAAAGATCAGTAGAATACATATCTTAAATAATACTAGAATACTGTAATGTTCGTTTATTTTAAACAACAGTTTATTTATAAATAATTTATTTAAACACTTATTTATTTTTAACATATGTTTGGTCTTAAGGAGTTTAATTATGTAATGATAATCGGACAAGTTGAGCATCAAAGGCCAAATAAGACAGAGAGGGACTTTGAGGATTAGAGCATGACTGAATAATGAAAGAGTTCGCATACTATATTCTAATTCGGCGAAATAATAAGGCATGAACTTAAATATAAAATTAAAGTGGAATGAACACATAAAGAAAAACCAGGAAGAGTTGGATATTAAATATAGAAAGTGATTCATATCAAAGTTAGGTTATTTTTTAATGGAACACCCTTTATTTTATTTTATATTTAAATTGTCCTCGCTTTTTCCATTATAACGATACAAAATAGTCTGAGATTATACAGGGTATTGCCAACGTTATTACCAGTTTTATAGGAATATCGTATTGATTTCAATGACCTGTTAACTGCAAAAGAAACGATTGAAAACCAATTTTTTTGCTTTAAAAGGTTTTGGATATTAGACAAAATTTTATGCTGATGCACTACTTCTTCAATTTAAAACAAACCTGTACAGATTGAATTAAAACTCAAATACATAATTTTCTATTTTATATCGCCATTAAAAGAATCTTAATTAAAGTTTCATTTGAGTTAAGCATTCCCTATACCTAAAGTTAATAATTTTTAAATTTTAATGAGAAAAAAGATAATTCACAAAATTAAATTTTAACTTGTTCTGGTTAATAGATGATAGACTGTTTGTTAATTGGTAATTGGAATTTAACCAGCTATAATGTATTATACACTGAATAAGTTTTTGACAATACTTATAGATTCAGTAGAAAAATAAATAAAAATAGCAACCGAAAACTTCACATAATACCTACTTTATTAAGTGATATTTTGACAGATTTTGTTTAATTAGAAAATTACTCTAAGTATTCTCCAAAAACTATTATAGAGGTCTGAAGGTAGTTTTCAAATGTCCATTTCTTAAGTAACACTCGAAATACTTTTCGTATTAACGACTGAAGGTAATATTAAAAAACTGGCTAGTTTCTTCTGCAGTTAATAGGTGACTGAAATCAATACGATTTTCATATAAAACTGGCTATAGCGTGGGTAATGCCCTGTACAGTATCATACTATCTTTTTATAATGGGAAAAGCGAGGGAAATTCAAATATAAAATGCAGGGTGTCCCATTTAAAAAAAAACCTAACTTTGATATGTAAAACTTTCTTGGAAAACCCTGTAAAATTAAAATTATTTTTAAATTGTTGCCTTTTCTGATATACATCTCGCTGTGAAAACATATTTTTTAAAAATCAAATAGTTTTGGCCCTACAGACCGAGGCGTTACCGGTGGCCCACCTTGTATAAACAAGTACTGAAGCCAGTATGGACTTACGGCATACAGCTCTGGGGTATGCCAGTAAAAATAACATAAATATAATACGCTTCCAGAACAAAATATTAAGAGATCTGAAAATGCCTACAGTCAAAGAAGAGAGACCATCGCCAAAAAAACATGAAAAAAGATTGCATGACCATGTAATATTGAAGTTCTACAGTTCCTGGACAACCAATACCTAATGAGAAGGCTCAGAAGGACCAAACCAATTGAATTAGTGATGCGAAATTATGTAAAAGCAGAGAACAGAGCGTGTGTGCAGTGTATATTTTTAAGCCTCTTAAATTTATAATAAAGACAAATTGCTGGTTGGTTGAAATATAGCTAGGTTCAATGCAAACTAAAAAAAATTTCCTGGCATGTGTTATTTTTAATGCCAGATTTTCAAAAATGTCATGTAGTTTTAGAGATTTTATTAGTTTTTCCGGAAATTTCATCGAAAAAGTCTACTTTCATCAAACGAAAGGAAATTTCCTGAAATGGATAAATCCGCTGTCAAAAAAACTGGGGCCGGAAAATTGGTTGAAAACCTCATTTAAAAGTTTCCGACATGATTTGACATAGAATATTTTATTGTTTCGTTAACAACATTTACATAGGGTAATTACAGCACCCCTTATAATTTTCGGACAAGGATATCTCTAAAAGTAATTTTTATAAAAAATTAAAATTTTGGCAAAATAAATTAGGCAATAATAACTAGAATATGCATATATTTTAAAGTTTTAATTCCTTCCAGTTTCCGAGAAAAAATCAAAGGGCTTTAAATTTTGAAATATCATAATGAAAATAAATGCATTCCGCAACAGCACTGTTCTTAATATTGTTACTCAGGTTTTTGGTATCACAATTTATTTCAACTTAACTTTTACAAGAAGTATTCAACTGTTCCTAAAGTGGCGCTGGGAAACAGTAACAAAGCCTACACAGAACACGAGGCTAATGACCTTAGTAGTCGATGCCGATGACACAAAAAAAAAGAAACATATCACATTTAACGTCTATCATAACATGTAACGTCTATCATAAAACTGACGTCAGGATCATCTTTATATAGCTCGAACCTTCTCGAACCGTCGTCTAGATTATTCTTGACGGGTAATGATTTTTCCAGACATTTCTGGACTATTCTATCTTCTTTTACTTATGACGACCGCAGCACACTGTAGGGCGATGAGTAACATTCCACTTCTTTTTCTATTTGTACGTTTCCTATAATAGCCGCAGGCTACTGCAGGGTGCTGTGTAACAATATAATCTCCAAATTTAAGCTCTTAATGTGTTATTGATTTTTTAAAATTCGCCAAAATTAGTGGTTACAATGCCTAGTTAAGTGCTATCTTCTGGTGTAAACTAGTGTAAATCGTTGCAAGAAACGAATGACCGAGAGTGTACAATACGATAGTTACAGGCGTGTTACACCAGAAGACAGCACTTAACGAGGCGTTTTAGCCACTAATTTTGGCGAATTTTAAACAATCATTAACAAGACATTAAGAGCTCAAATTTCGGGATTATATTAAGAATAGTGCTGTTGAGAAATGCATTTATTTTCATTATATTACAAAATTTAGAGCTCTTTTAATTTTTTTCTCGGAAACGGAAAGAATTTAAACCTTTAAATGAAATGCATATCTACACCTTTTCCAATTGTAGTTCAAAATGTGCCAATTGTATTTCCAAATAGTCATTTAAATTTCATAAAGCATCATTTGAATTTCCAAATTGTCATTTAAATTTCATAGTGTATCATTTGTATTTCAAATTGCTCATTTTAATTTCCAAAAGTATCAAATGTATTTTGAATTATTCAAATTAATTTCAAAAATAAACATTTCCATTTTTAAAATTGTAATTTGTATTTCAAAATATATCAAATATATTTCAAAAAACATCATTTGAATTTCAAAAAAATTATACACAAAGGTTTGTATTCAACTGTAATAAGTGATTAATGTTATACTATTTTTAACCACCCTGTTAGGACGCTTTTAACTCCTGTCAGTTTGACATAAAGTTAATACATCTATTCAATTTAAGAGTGCATTTGAGCCACAAAATGAATTTGAAATACAATTGTGCTATCTGACGAGTTTCAATGTTGAGAGGTAATGTGTTAATAGTTCTTCCCTGCAATCACTTTTTTCATGTAACTTGCTCAGAAAGAATCATCAACACAGCAGATGCAAGTTGCCCTTTATGTAGAGTTATTCTAGTGGGGAACGAACCTTATGAAAGAAAGAATTACAAGAAGCATTCAGATGCAGATAGGAAGAACATTATAGAACAAAGGCTGGTTTACTTGGAACATATTGTAGACGAAGGGAAACACACGATTGTAGATGGTGATTGCGCTCGTGTGGTACAACACTCCTCGACTTTTCACGGACCAGCTTTAGCATTAGAAGATATGCCTGTTGGACAATAGCATTTCGTTTAAAATTGTTTGTTGTATATTCTTATAAAAAGTTAATTATAAGTGCGGAGTGTTCAAGTATACTGTAGTATATTTCTAATAGAATTATGTAAATTAATTTGGAAATAAAAATGATAAGTTTTGAAAATAAAATGTTGAATTTTGAAATTCAAATGGAATTTTTTGGAAAACATATGACAAATCTGACGGCTTTTGAAATTAAATTAATAATTTTAAAATACATTTGTTACTTTTTTTAAATAAATTGACTAATTTGAAATACAATTGACGCATTTTAAAACTAAATTGATTAATTCGAAATACAATTGATATTTTTCGAAATTAACTCGACAATTTTTGAACTACAATTGGAAAAGGTGTAGATAATATAACCTAATTTATTTTGCCAAAATTTAAATTTTTTAACATAATTACTTTTTGAAATATCCTTGTCCGAAAATTATAAGGGATGCTGTATTCACCTTAAGTTCTTTTTATTTAAACGTATATGTATGTTTCATTGTGTACACTACATTAGGTTATCTTTATATGGAAATTTGGTATTTGCATCATGAACAGTTTGGTTATTATGGTTGAAGAAGTGACACCTCGTATCTACATAGGAACTATTCAGCACATATAAGAGATCACTTCTTCAACGTTATGAACACAGACTTTTCTCGGATTTTGGCTGTGATATATGCAACATTATGTGGGTAATGAACAGAGACAAATGATATAAAAATGTGGTCCACTTACCCGTGGATGGAGAAAATTGTCCAAAAGGCCACTCATGCTGCCAAGGCCACCAATAGATGGACCTCCACCAAATTGTGGGGGTTGATGTGGTTGCTAAAAAAATTAATACATTTTATTAAAAATATCTTATTAAGTAGTTGTAATTGAATGAAAATTATCAATGTAAATTTCAGCAGTTGTTACGTTGTAATCGTCACTTCCTTTTAATAATTACAATATTTAATTAGTTCAAATATTCCAATATATTCTAATACTTTTTGAGCGCCCCTCGTATTTGGAAATATAGATATTATGTTAATTCGGGGAATTTGTCTCTGTCTGAGACATTCGATGGCTCAACCAATGATGCGCCTTCTCTAAAAATCAATAATTACGGTCAGAGGTCGTGCGCACGCCTGGCCACCCGTGGAATACATCACGTTTTCGCTTGCTTTACAATTTCTTTTTCAATCTAGCAGCCAAACGAATCGGTTGGCTTGGTTTAGTGTTGTTAAGTGTTTCCGAACAAACTAAGGTAACCAATTATTTTTTTTTATAATGAATGGTAGAAATTAATTTTATTTATCCTGGTGAAATTATTTGTGACTTATTTCTTTAATTTATTTTCGAGATTTCCGCATGTAGTGTACAAAATGGCTGCCATTAATTTTATATTTTTTTTTCTTCTCAGTTATTTTAAAAAATCTTTCCATTCTTCATGTATTTTAATTTTAATACTATTGCAAATATCTAGTATTGTTGTAAACTTGAAATGTTCAATTTAAAAATGTTTAATTTAAATAGTAAGCTTTTATGGCTGACCACATGTTTTTTTTTTTTGAAGCAATGGAAAGATACTTTTTTTTTTGTTGTAACTGACACGTTTTTTCTTTCTTAAAATTAAGGAACTGGCCCTGATAACTTGAGAAACTGGCTTGTAAAGACAGTAAAGCCTTTATAACTAAGAACGCCTAGTATGCAGAATATGTAGAAAGTCATCGTAAGCTGAGTTACATCTAGAACTGCAGAATGTCTAAAGTCATCATAAGCTGAGCTACATCTAGAGAGAGCTACACGGACCAGTTCGACCGTTGAAATCCGGAAACACACAAAAGATAAGTGTCGGCCAGGACCACACACACAATTTTTGAGTCAAAGTACTAGTCAATTTTAATTTTAAACGTATTATCTAGTCAAATTAAAGCCGATTAATTGTTTTAAAATCTAAGTTCTTTTATTTTCCTTACTTTCAACTGACAGGTTAATGGCAAATTTACTTTTATTATAAATCTAAAGGTATGGCGCCCAAATTAATTTAATTGAATTCTTTTAAGTCTTTTTAATTAAAGACTTTGCCATTGACTTGAAGGTAAATTCTAAACGAATCCCACTGACCCATTTTGATCTGAGCTAGGCCTGAGGCTTGTAAGAATTCTTATTATAAGGATTTTTACAATAAGACCCAGGTAAGGGTTAAAAAGTTAACTATCATCTGGTGCCTAACTTTAAAATTGAGCATAGCAAAATATGTTTCTATAACATAATTTTTATAACGTAACTTTGTAAACATAACATTTTTATAACGTAACACAGTAAAGATTTTCTAAATTTGAAATAAAGTTAGCAAAGTAGGCTCAGCTCCACTGCACTTAGGTCCCATTAGTTCACTGTGCAACCTTTAGGGAACTTTTTTTTAACACACTATTATAAATTAATTGACAAAGTAGCCATGATATGATTCTCTAGGCGCGTCCACCAGTGTAATATTCGAAAGTAGTTGATACCGCCACCATATATTAATAGTTGTTTGTCCATTTTCTTCAGGAGTCATTATTTTTAGACCATCTTTAAGAAATAAGCAAATCTTAAAATGACATTTTTCTAATAAAATGTTTCAGCAAGCAGTGCCCTGTTAGTAATCCCACAATGTTGGATATTTGAGGCCTTGCGAGTTGTAGTGCCTCAGTAGCCATGCATGGGTTTGGTCCCCTTAGCATGAGCTTACTGATTATGTGCCCTCTTATATGTTGCCAGTGAATTTGGTGTTTTATGATTATCCACCTTTTCACTGCCTGTCGAGCAGAAGTTTTGCTTATCCCAAATACAGGTTCGGGTCCTGTGAATGGTAGATCTGATCCCTCTTTGGCGAGTTCATCAGCCTTTTCATTTCCTTGGATACCTTTGTGCCCTGGTACCCACGCCAGTTTTACCTTGTGGGTTGCCAGATCATTTAGTATTCCAAGGCAGTTCCAGACAAGCTTTGACTTAATTCTGTTTGAATCAAGAGCCTTTAAAGCTGCCTGGCTATCTGAGAGAATTAGGATGGTTTGTTTTTTGTACTTCCTTCTTAAATTCTCTCGCACACACAATTCGATTGCATGTATTTTAGCCTGAAATACAGTGGCATTTCCCAGTGAGACGATGATGTCGCATTTGGGTTTAACTCCATGTACGCCAGAGCCTGTTCCCTTGTTAGTTTTAGATACATCCGCATACCATACGAGGCCGCTAAGCCTTATTTACCTCGTTCGAGTTACAGTTGACCTGGAAGAGTCTGTTAAAGGTTAGGAGGGATGTCATGTGATCTGATCCCATATTTAATATAGAATCATTTACTTCATGTGTTATTCTGGTATGTTTTATATGTCCCAGTGGGTTCCAGTTGTTGGAGATTTCCAGTCTGTATGCACTCATTCTGGTCTCCCCCTTTATGACTAAGTCAAGGGGTGGGAGGTTTAGAATGATTTCCATAGAGGCTGTCGGTGTACTTCTCAGTGCTCCTGTAATACAAAGGCATGTCAGCCTCTGTACTCCTGCGAGTGTTTTGAGGGCTGTTTTCTGATTTACTTTTGGCCACCAAACAACCTCTCCATAAGTCATCATGGGTCTTGTTATTGCCAAATATAGCCAAGTGGACCATTTTTGGTTTTAATACCCATGTTTTTCCAAATGCCCGTCTCCCTACAATAAGAGACATTTTACATTTGTTGGTCACTTTTTGTAAGTGTTGGTTCCAAGTAAGTTTGCTATCTAGGATTAGACCCAGATATTTAACTTGGTTCGTTTTGTTTAGCCTTCCTCCAAACAGAGTCGGAGTTTCTAAAACCTCCAATTTTGTTTTTCGAGTAAAGGTTATGAATTGTGCCTTGTCAGGGTTTACCAAGAGGTTTTCCCTAACGCACCACATTTCTGTCAGCCTAAGAGCTCTTTGCATGAATTCAAAGACTGTGGTTTGGTGTTTCCCTCGGATAAGGATGACTGTCATATATCCTTGGGCATACAGCCCTTGATTGTTTAGTGTTTTCAGCAGTTCGTCTGCCACTAGGTTCCACAGTAGAGGAGAAAGGACTCTACCCTGTGGGCATCCCCTGTGGATATTCACCTGCATGGTTTCACTGAACATTTGTGCCTGTACTTTCCGTCTGCATAACATGTCTTCTGTCCACCAGCAGATGGTGTCTTCTATTCCATGATTGCGAGCGGCAGCTACCATTGATTTAAAGGAGGTATTATCAAAAGCTCCTTCTATGTCAAGAAATGCTCCTAGGACTATTTCTTGGCTACTGAGTCCTCCCTCTATCTTGGTTACAAGATGGTGCAGAGCAGACTCACAAGATTTTTCTGATTGATAGGCATGTTGGTTTGTATGAAATGGCCTCTCTATCAGAGTGGTTTGCCGGACATGCTGATCAATCAGTTTTTCCAATCCATTCAATAGAAATGACGTCAGTTATTTGTCTATAGGCCTTTGCCACGGCATATGTTGGACGCCCCGGTTTAGGTATAAAGACAACTCTGCTTTGTTTCCAGGTATTTGGTACATGTTTATGCACCAAACTTGCCCTGTAGAGCCTACAAATATGCGGGGCCAGTGTTTCTATTGCCTGTTGCAAAAGCACAGGCAGTACCTCATCTGGTCCCGGTGATTTGTATGGATTGAAGGTGCGTATTGCCCATGTTACTTTCTCTGTAGTATCTACCCGTTAAGCAGATTCCCAATCTTGGCTGGAGACCCTTTTTGAGAGTTTCAGTTCGTGTGGCTTTGGTTTGCTGCATTCGAGTTTGTTGTGCAATCAGGAAAATGAGTTTTAAGAAGTAGTTCTAATGTTTCCATTCCAGTTTTAGTATATTCCCCTGTTTGGGTTTTTAAAGTCCACACAGGGTTTATTGGATATTTTGCTAGAATGCGGTGGAGTCTCCATCCTTTCAGTTCTTTAACGAGCAGTTATTGTGATATGATGTTATAATTGCGTCCCCTGGAACAAATTTTCTAAAAGGTTCCGGATGAAATAAATGGCTAGGTTGAAAATGAGTGGAATGATCAGATCACCTTCGACTGCGACACAGATGAAGACCATGGCTAAATTAGGTGAGACTTGTTTAAAGTCGGTAGGCGCCTGTAGGGTAAAGCCAAAGATCTGGTACCTAATTATTTCCAATGCGTAACAGGTACATAAAATGACAGCCCTTGACGTCAAGTGTCCTGTCATTAGTCCAGTAAGAATGCGAAAAATATATTTTTAATAAGTGCCTTATTGTGCATTTGTAACACAGGCAAAAAGTGAGGAATTATATATCACATTAAGTACACTGAGCATTAAAGATCTAGTTACAAACTGGAGAATATCAAGTGAACCATCTTTATCTGATCATAAGATAATAATTGTGTTTAGGTTAGAGAGTGATGCGCCTGAGACGATACTCAGGAGGAATCCTAGAGAAACAGACTGGGACAAATACAACACCACTCTAAAACAAAATTTAGCATGGGTACAGATACCCATTAGCTCTGGAAAACGATCTAGAAAAACTGAATGTGGCAATATTTGAGGCATATGAATCAAGCTGTGCCCCATTCCACCAAATGAACTAGTAGGGACTTTCCTGGGTGGAACAGCCGTCTGTCAAACTTAAGATCTGGAATGTGGAAACTATAACAGAGCCAAGAACAGCGGAGATTGGCTGAAATGAGGAAAGCTAAACGTAACAGCTTCAGGAAATTTTGGGAGGATATTAATTCTACATCTGCGGCAACAAAACTGCACAGGGTTCTAGCAAAAGGGAGAGTAACACAGCTATGGATCTATAGAAACCAAAAGGAAGCTTCAAGGAGA